ACCACACTAGAAATAATTCATTTAAAATTTATATTTTTTACATAGAATATTCAGTACATGACTGCGATTATAAAATATTGTGAATACGCTATATATATATATATATATATATATATATATATATATATATATATATATATATATATATATATATATATATATATATATATATATATATATATATATATATATATATACTGTATATATATATATTTGTGTAATAAATGTATGTAGTAAGTATGTACAGTAATCTTTTTCACTCAAATCCTAATGAAACACTATTGAATTAGAATACTGTAGCTGGTTGAAGCAAGCTTATAAATTAAAGAAAATACTTGGTGTGTTTAATATATTACAGTATGTTATAAATAAATAAATAAACAAATAAATCGGTAAATCCATTTCAAGTAAATGAAACAATTGTATTCGACACCGACATTAGTTCAGTTAAATAACAGACTTTTAAGTGAGTCACTAGTGTTTACACTACACCAACCTGTAACATTTGATGCCATTACTTGAAGTGAATTGGCCTTATTTTAAAAAACCAAGGATGTGTAAACAGCACTGGTCAATGGGATGGTTGGTAAAGGACTACTGGGTCAGTAAGCTCCCAATGGTAAGTGTCACATTTGGGGTACCGGTCTTATACAGCGAATAGAGCTCAAAAGCTACTTTTTAAATGGAAATTTTGGGGGCCGTCTTATACACCCTGTCGCCTTGTAGGCCGAGATATACGGTGCACAAAGCAAATATTTTATCTTTTGTGCAAAATATATGAAGTTTACATTCAAAATATTCCCTGACCTGCAAGGAATCCAGAAATGTCAATATTATATTATCCTATCTTTAGTCTGAGGTATTATTTATTACTAAACGTTAAAATCTAGTGTTTTCACCCAACATTTCTCAGAGAGGTAGGAGCTAGTGAGCTGGGAAGAGGGGGGGGAGGGGGGATTTGAGTCCATTATTTGAATGGACATTAACCTGGCGACTGTATTTCCCTTAAATATTAATTGTGTGAGCATACCATCATAAAATTTATATGTTATTTTTACTACAACATAAGTATTGTGTCGGAAAAAGTGGAGTTTGGGGGTCGGGCCAGTCTCTATTGGAATTAATCCCATATGTTCTGTTGTTCACTTTACGCGGTTTTCACTTTCCGCGGTACCCTGTGGGTTCAATTGACAGCGTAAATCAGGGTACTACTGTATTTGATAATATTGTACGTAATGTATTATGCATCTACATATTCCCTGGTTTATTCATTAATCAGTTTTCTAAGTGTACAGGTAGCCACATCATGTATCACTCAAAGGTAATAAATAATGTTGTCAGGAAGGTATCTCCCTATCAAATACTAAACAGTGTGCTATATTGACTGTTGTAAGCTATTTGCTGAAAGCTCGCACAGGAATGCATCCGAGTGAATACTTTCCGATACAGCTTATTCTTTTATTTTCAAGCTATATTACAAATGTTTTATGAATCATGATAAATTAAACACCATAAGAGGCTGATCACAGAAGAATATAATACTGAATCAATATAAAAAACCCTGGCAAATGTGGCAACACCCAATCAGCCTCCTATTCCCCGGTCCCCCGGACTGTTTACATAGAGTATTTTAGCTCTCATACTTAGGAGTTCTCATTAGGCCTAGAGCAAATCTAATTAGATCAATGTACAGTATTCAGTGAACAAGTGTTTTTCTTTTCATATATTTTTTTTATATTTATAATTTCTTAAAATACTTACTCTACATTATTTTAACCATTTTCTTAAAACCCTCAAGTATCCCTGTTAAAGACAATACACGCTCTCCATAAAAAAGGTCGCATATGAATGTAGGTAGCGAGGTGCGGCACACTGATACGATACATATGAAGGCAGGACTCAGACTGAGACACATGCCACACTGCACCAAAACCAAAGGCACAGTTTCTCAGTAACTTCTGTGTCTTCCACTGCATATACCGTATATACTCGTATGTAATTCGAGTTTTTAAGACCAAATTTTTAGGCAAAAAATTGGGGGTCAACCTCTACATGGGTAATAGTTTTGTTAGGTTGAATCAGTGCATGATGGGAAGGGCGAGGAGCAACTTTGAGCTTTAGACATGAAAAATATTTAGCAGTTCCTGCCAGTAAACAATGGAAATGTAAAATATGTGCCAATTAGTAATGAAAAGCTGTGCAGTGCCTTCAGCAGATGAAGCTCACCATCTTACAATAGGCTAACTTACCTTACAATGTGCTTTCAGTAGTCTATGTTCAAGTTCTTAGCACAGGCTAACTTATCATATCATATATGGTATCACAGTACCCATTGATCTACAAAAAATACCGGTAAAAAAAACCTTTTCGATATTTCACACTTAATATAATACCCGGTAATCCACCTCAACCTCATATTGTTACAACGATGCACGATGCACCACCAGCGGTTGAGTATCAGCTAAACCTGGGGTTCCCAAACCTGGGGTCGCGACCCCAAATGGGGTCGGAAAGCTCATTAGGTAGGGTCGCAAAGAGGTCATGGGGTCGGTGGGGTTGCTGGGGTCCTTTGGGTCTGCCAGATCAGGTCACATGGGGAGAGGATGGATAGTTGACAACACTGGATGGGGTCGTGCTAGAAAAAGCTTGGGAACCCCTGAGCTAGACGGTACGTGTTTTTTGAATCGTTTTCAGTTAAAAAACTGTTACATCACAAGTATATTTTACCTTAACTGTGCCCGAATGAATATATTCTCAGAAATAAATAGTAGTTTTGCTGAACGAAATGTATTTCAATGTAAATTAGGATAAACTACATGAAAACAAAAGACTTTACCTAACCTTCCGATGTTCAAGAGATGTTACTTGTTTTTTTAATAGTTTTCGGTTAAAATACAGTTATATTACAATGATATTCTATTCATACTGTGCTTGATATAATACATTCACAGAAATTTAATATTTTTGCTGAAATGACATACGTATTACAGTGGAAAGTGGGATACAACCATGACGAAAACAATCGACTTTCGCTTTCTTTCGTTGTTCAAAAGATGTTACTGTAATCGCTTTTCGAAGGGTTTTCAGTTAAAAACTGTTGTATTACAATAATATTCCCTCCTAACTGACTTGAATGGAAATATACAATAATTTTCCTGAAATTACCCGCGTTTCAGTGTAAAGTGTCGTAATAATGGTAAACAATTTGCCTTCAGCGCCCGGTATTTCAGGCACGGCAACCCTCAGTTTATAGGACGTAGAGTGTTTTTAGTGAAGGTTTTGCTGTTCCATTACCCTCAAAAACTTGGGTCGACCTATAAATGAGGCATATCATAAATTAATGATTTCTTGGTCAAAAAAATCAGGGTCGACCTATAAACGAGGTAGAATTATAGACGAGTATATACGGTATTTCACTCATATTATTTTTGGCTTATAATTATTGTGTCCACCAAAAATTATTCTTAAGAACATGTTTTGCAGTATTTTAACCCTTAGGCCCCAGGTGACGTTCCAGAACGTCTGACCGGCGCGCCCCGAGTGATGTTCCAGAACGCATGCCTATTCCTGCCCCTGTTTAAATGCCCAGCGCGGGTTATCAGGTTCCAGTGTGACTATTTGCCTGTCACGCCACACGCTCGATCACAGGGAAGCTTCCTGAACATAATTACCTACTTTTGTTTGTTTCATTTTCATTGTTTGTCCATTTTATCATGTTGTATCAGAGTACAGGTAGTTCTGCTATAACGCGATAATTGTGTTCTTGTAAAATATCGTGTTATAGAAAATCGCGTAATAGAAATAACAGGGCTTATGGAGAAAATAGGGTTAGGTGCAGATTACTCGAAATCGAAAAAATTTAGTAGTTAGCCTAACACAAAGGATAGCACGGTCTAAATAAATGTTACATTCATATCTAATAATGAAATCATACAGTAAATGTAACACTTTACTTGATGGGGGAGAAGGGTGATTTTGAGGTTGATAAAATTGAGCTTCTCTTCAAGTGTTATATCCTTTCTTTTACGATCATCACCAGGAATTTTATCACCGGAACGCTTCTTGTTGATATTCTTCTTTACTACGTATACAGTATTCACAAAATTGGAGAAATAGTAAGCAAAAATCGCGTTATAGCAAACAAGCGTTCGCGTTATACAAATATCGTTCGTAATTCATAAATCGTGTTAGAGCAAATTCGCGTTATCAAAACACGCGTTATAGCAGAAATCACTGTACTAATATTGTTTAAAGTAGTGCAGTTATATTGTAGTGTAGTATTACTGGAAAATAATGCTATGATTATGTTATAAATGTTTTTATTTGTGGAATTATTATTACTTTATGCATTACTTGTTCTACCAAACACAAAGACAGCCAGGCAGACTGGCAACCAACTGGCAAGTGTTGCCAAGCACTTTTTTAATGAAAAATTATGCAAATAAAATATTCTAAATGAATTATTTATAGCAAATAAGTATTAAGATAAGTAAATACATAAATTATTGGCCAACTCGGACACAAAGGCGAGCTAAAAATAGCTGTTAAGTGCCGAGGGACCACGAGTGTTAGCTGTCAAATCAACACTGTCTCCTTATCTCTCCCCCTCCTCCCTCCCTCTGTGCGGCCAGAGAAGATTCTCGAGGGTCAATATATAGTTTTTCATACTTATTTTTTTATTGTTTTATCATTTTAAAAGGTTAAAAATTATTTTTGGAAAATTTTATATTTCTCGATTTACCCCCAGGTGGGGGGGGGTACTGCCACCGGCACCCTACCCCGGGGCTTAAGGGTTAAGGATTGCACCAGTGTTATACAAATATTTCATAAAATAACTAAAATTAGAATTTCATGCCCCAGGAAACCATTTCCAGGACAAATAAAAAATCTGCAAATTAGTTCAGTTAGGGGGTCTACTGTTATGGATTTTGAACAATGTGTTTTAAAATTTCAAAAGCCTTTTCACACTTTTATCCAGATATAAACAACAGTAAACACACCTCCAGAGCAGATGTAAAATCCTGAAGGAGCGTACTGTGCAACGTTGACCTGGATCGAGTGTTCAGTGTACACATCAGCAATAGCTGGATTCTGAAAAATTTACACAAAATCATTACCTGAGATTGAAATTTATATTCATAATAGCTTAAACTACACATCTCAATAATCTTACTGATAGCTGTAATACATCATACAAGAATGTCATTATTGTTATCGAAAACTTTGGTGTCATAAAAGTTTAACAGTGTAATGCCAGAGTACAATCTTCAAAGACTAGTTAAAATTTCTGGACAGACATAATGTTTCCCAAGCAATTTGGGGTCTATCTCAGAGACTGTTTTGTAAGTGACAACACAGTATCAAACTACTGAATCACCCTACATGGTTCTGCCCCTACTTACCTATGCACAATCAACAGAAGATGCATCAACCCCACACTGGCTATCGTATTCACAATTTTACCTGGCAAAACTTGGTGAAGTAAGGCTGTATGTAATGGGGGATAGTGATTGGTGGATATATTTTCAGCTGTATCAAAAGGATAAATATAAAAAAAATCCAAAGGCAGGTTTTTTATAAAGTAATATCTCCGTTAGTTGGAATCCATCTAACCCAGAACTCCCTGATAGCTGTGGGAATGGTTTTCCTTGGGGCACATTTTCTGGAAAATTCAGTGAACATTTTTCCAGTACCTGGAAATTTTCATGGATGAGGAATATTTTTCTGGGTTTGAGAGATGATGAAATGTGCAATTTCTGCAACTTCTGAGAAAAATTTTCCGTTACAGGGAAAATTCCGGGGATCAGGGAATTTTTTCCAGCTTCGAGAGATTATTTTATATATTTTATTTTTTACGGGGAGTAGCCCACCCAGGCACAGGTTATCGACCCACAGCAGGGACTAGGGGGCGAAAAAATAAGAGTAAAAAGAAATTAAAAATAGAAAAGACAAAGATTATATAAATCTACACCACCAGCTTTATAAAGCGAGACATTGTAAGAGTATGGAAACACAGAAAGCAGAGCATTCCACAGTTTGGCTGTATGAGGAAAGAAGGCGGTACTATAACCGGTTAATGTAGTGTGACCGACATCCACAGAGAAACTGTGGGCACTGATGGCAAGACGTGTGTTACTAGCCCACGGCCTGGCCGGCGATACACAGGATGCCAAATCCACTGAACATTGCCCGTTAAAGTACAGTAGGTCCTCGTTTAACGTTGCCCCCGACAACGATGTTTCGTTTTAACGTAGCTACTCTTTAGATAACCATGATTCCGACAACGTTTCTAACGATTTGTTATAACGCCGTCACAGACTACAGTACTTTGTATGGTGCATCACCCTCTCTCATTTTGGTGCGCTATGCTCTCTCACGGAGCGTCAGAGCATCCCCAAGCGTCACTGATCTTTGTTAGGCTTCCACAGCGTTTAATAATAAAATAATAATAATAATAATAATAACATTAATTAACGGTTTATTGAAAGAGCATGGCAGCCGGAAGGCTGAAAATATAGTTACATAATTGGAGAATGGGTCTCTTTGATTTACAAATAATATACAATTAACATAAGTGATACAAATATGATATACAATAACTAGGTGTGGAGAAGCTCAAATTACAGGGCATTTCAACATAGTGACAGTGCAAAACGTAATATTGACTGGGAGTGAATACACTTGTTGATTACAAGTTATTGATAATTTTTACAATGGTTGGGACTGGGCTGTTCTTAGGGCCAATTGCAAGAAGCTCTGTGGTGTATACCATGCTGTAGTAGCCCCGTGGATGGTGTGCAAGAAGCATTCTGGGCTAAAAAAAAAAATCTACGATTCGTTATTGGAACGTGGGAGATTTCCGTGGTACTCGTATCCCCGCCCGATGACCACTACGATGGGACTATATTTTGAAACCAAAAGAAAAGAAATAGAATTGGATGCACATAAATTGTATAAATCTGCAAAGGAATAATATTTTTTATAAGATATCCTCCATATAGAACAGCACATGAAGAATTTTAGTGTTCTTTTTAAAAGATTTCCATGTTTGTTTAGGAACATCCACCAGCCTCTACTTGACTCATCGTCGCTTATATCCTCCAAATTCTCCTAACCATCATTAAAGGTAAGCCTTTAAGATAACTAATCCAAATAATTTATGTGTAGAAATGTGTGGAAATCAAATTAAGCTTAAAAAAAGTCGTAAGTGGTCTATTTAAAGAGTGGTGAGAACTGCTCCATCTGGGATGGTGAATGACGTTCCTTATCAGAAATAATATCGACCCAATTTTCGTAATGAGCGCAATTAATAACCATCCAGCACTACCAAAATAATTATTTCATTAGTATAAATACTTAGTAGCCTAAATTTCATATTTTAATAAGTCCAAATATGCCAGGTAACCAGTGCTAGGTAGTTCCCAGGCATGTTTCATTTGTGTATCAGTTTAACCACAATTTGTTACTAATAAAATAAATTCAGTGACATAAATTCATGTTCTTTTTTTAATTCCTTTAGTGACTCAATGTATTGCAAGAAAAACTACCTTACCACTTTTTGTGTAACATTTGGAGTGGTGGTAATAATTCACTTTGCCATTGACAGTGGTAGAATCTAGTGCAGATATATTGGCTTCGTATGTCCATGATTCCAACAAAAATGAATAATGTCTTCCAAAATAAATTAAATTTAAGGTCGTGTTATCTTTTCGGTCATCCAGGGAATTTTTGGATTTTAAGTTGATCAATGTTTTCCAGTTAGGTTAAGTTAGGTAGGTTAGGTTAACATTTTGATGTAGAACATTAAAATTTTAAATGGATTTAAATTTTTTGTCTATGAATTTCTCCCCAAAATAGGATCAATGTTTTGGAATCACCATAAAAATCTACATTAGAAAAAAAAAAGCATTTTTTTGAGTGTGTGTTGCATATAAAACCAAACAAATCTGAGTTTCCATTGGAATTTTTTTTTTATTTAACAGACAAAATTACCCACAATATGTCGGTGTTGGAAACTTATAAATATTAACCCTCATAAATAAAGATATTTCAGAATTTGGCAAATTTAACTAACACAATATGTATTAATGAATTTATTTTCACTTACAGGTGGAGATACAGCTGACCATTCACCTTTCACCAATACTGTACTGAAGAAATAAATCTTGGTATCATGATTGATGGGGAATATTTCCAGTTCCAGGGAAGATTTTGGAATTTGCTACCTAGCCTAACCTCAAAATTGGTTCCCAGACTCGGAACAGAAATATTTGGAGACTTTCCGTAAAAGCCCCAAATTACTCATAGATCAGAAAAAATGCAGTTTCTGGAATTTTCAGAAAATATGCCTTAATCAATTTTTTTTTACACTGCATACATACATGGATATTAAGTATTAATATATTTGTGAAATTTGTGGATGATTTTTCTTTTAAAATACTACTCTTGATCATCCATATATTATAACATATCCTGCTTTTAATAAAGGCTATATTCTGACAGGCATTATCATTGTATTCTTATCCTTATTATTTTTACAGTTTATATTAAACATTGAAAAATGCAGGAATAATTTGCAATTAACATAGCAGACTGTATTGAGGATATTTGTAAACCATTTAATTATCATCTTGTTCTATGTTTAACATTATTAGTCTCCGATTAGTTGGTAGAATTTCATGAATATACATTAAAACCTAAATTAACCGACCACATATGGGGGGAAGGGGCCAACGGATAATCCGAAAGGTCGGTTAATAGTACATAAAGTCTACGGAAATAAAACACATTTTCAAAGTACCTTTCCCTAACCTACCTCATTTAATTCCCTCTATTCATTTTTGTTCATTTGTCATTCATATTTCAATAGAATTTGCTTTAAAACATTAACCACTTTAGTAAATAAATATGAACCAGCACAGAAACCGTGAATAAAAAATGGAAAAGTCAAAGAACATATGTCATCAAGAAAATTGTGACCAAGTCCCAGGTTGCTGATCTGACTTTCTACCTCATTTACACACAATTGCAGAGTCTCAATTGCTTCTCTTACTATTGACAACACGACATACATATATTGTTTCTCTCTTGATTTTTTTTTCAGTTTTGCATTTATTTACAGTTCTTAATTACATGTACTATTACTATTATTATTATTATTGTTATCATTATTAATATTATTACATTATAGCCCCCCAGGCCCCGATGTCGGTCAGTGACCTGTGCCCGTGTGGGCTAATCCCTGTATATAAAAAAAAAAAAAAAATAATAATTTTTTTTTTAGGAGTTCGGAATTGACGGTTAATCCAAAAGTCGGTTAATCGAGGTTTTACTGTACCTACTGTATATGGGTTCTATGACATTTGCTCACAAGATGAACCTAATCTAGTCTAACCTAACATGTCTTCCTTTCCATTGCTGTATAGTTGAGTACAGGTTGACAATCCCTTATCCAAAATCCTTGGGACCAGATGCATTTCGGATTTCAGAATGGTCAGGTTATTTTTTTTTTTTTTGGTATTAGCCCACCTGGGCACAGGTCACTGACCCACATTGGGGCCTGGGGGCTAAAATATAATTATAGTAATAATAATAATAATAAATATAATACAGTAGTACCCCGCTTAACGCAGTCAATAAAACCCACAGGGTACCGTGTTAAGTGAAAACCGTGCTAAGTGAACAACAGAACATATGGGATTAATTCCAATAGAAACTGGCCCGACCCCCAAACTCCACTTTTTCCGACACAATACCTATGTTGTAGTAAAACTAACATCTTAATTTTATGAGGGTACATGCACACAATTAATACTTAAGAGAAATAGAGAAATACAGTCGCCAAGTTAATGTCCATTCAAATAATGGACTCAACTCCCTCCCCCTCTTCTCACACTACACTGCTGGCTCTTCCCTCTCGAGAAATTTTGGGGGGAAAACCACTAAATTTTAATAAATAATACCTCAAACTAAAGTTAGGATAATACAATTGACATTGCTGGATTCCTTGTAAGACCAGGAATATTTTGAATATAAATGTCATATATTTTGCACAAAAGATAACATATTTACTCAGAGTAAGCCTTATATCT